GTCCATTCATTGACAGCTCCTAATGCAATCTCACCTTGTGCTCCAGCACTTTATAAAGTTATCCTTGGATCTGTTCTGAACGCTTGTGGGCCAATTATTGGATAAATATAATGGAGATATCCGATAAACCGATTGCCCCGCAGCTCCAGTCGAAACATTTTCCACTCGATTGATCTGGTGCCGAAGACAATATGGAAAGCCATCGGGTTTATGCCGTTACAGTGAGCGTTAACATTACCGTTAAATTCCCCACATCCGCCCTCCTTTCAAGCTAGACAAATATTTGGATGGGCCAAAATATGGGGGCTTTCTCCATTGTCTTTTGTTTACCTGAATGTATCGATAAATGTATCTATGCAAATGTGGACTCAAATCATAAATCATCCAAGCCGAAGACGGAATGGTACTTTGGTGCTTAAAGATGGGTATGAAATTGAGAAATTATCCCAAAAGTTTTGTGCTTAATTCGTTGGCAATTTCTCTGGGGAAGGAATTGGGATTGGGATTATCTGATTGTGGTTGATTCGCTTAGTCCCTTGCTAACTACTGTTGCAAAATTCGGAACTTTCGAGTGCATCCTGTGCGTAGTTTCCATGCAATTGGCCACAGTAATTTCACTTGGCTTTTATCCCCTTTCCCTTTCAAACGTCATTTCCGACACCTCGGTGCCATTCCCCTTCCCTTTCCCTACCCCTTCCCTCTCCCTTGCACGCACACACACATCCGATTACCAATTTCCATGCACTTGAGAGATTTCATTAGCTACTGCCGTTGTTGCTGTTGTCGCTTTCCATTTGCCATGGCGTGCCTGGCTGGTTTTTCTTCTTTGATTTCCCCAACTTACTGAGCACAGGAAAAAATTTAACTTTTCCTTCATTAAATTGGGGTGTTTTTCAGTGTCGCGAATGACTATAATTTAAAAGGAATCATTTAAAGTAGCTCCATAATTTGAAATTGCTTAATACATCTGTTTGATGGCATAAAAAGGCTGCTTAAAATGTATTTCTGGTTTAAAATATATGATTGCAAATCTAAAAATATAAGAACATTGCCTCATTTCTTTAACAAGGAATAAATAAATATTATAAATTTATGGGAATCCGCAGAGTTTTCCTGCCACTTCTGCCTATTTTCTTTTCAGCATTTTCCTAAGTGTGCTTAATATTGGAGTTGCAAATTGATTTTAAAAACAGCAGGTAACAGCATTGCTTAAGTCGATATGTCTTACTGAAAAGTTTCTGTTTCTTCCTGTGTGCCTGAGGTTTTTCTCTACGCACTCTAGCTTTCTATCGCACTTGAGCACTTTCCATGCGTTTAAACAATTCCCCCACAATTTTCCATTTTACAAATGTTTTTTCTTGGCCCATCGCCCGTTGCGTCTTGAATTCGTTTGTTGTTGTCAAAAATGTTGATGAAAATTTCATAAATTTATTTTCGGTTTTCCTCCTAGTTCCTGTTGCTGCTGGTGTTGTTGGCCCAGTTGTTGTTGCACTTCATTCGCTCGTACGCTTCTGAGCCATTAACTATGCCACTCGTTTTCAGTGAAGTGCAGCTGGAGCAAAGAAAAAAGGGGTTCAAAGTGGGGTAAGCTTGGGCAATAAAGCCAGTCGAGTTGCTCATATCATTTAATATTAAACACTTTTAAGAGTCCTGCAGTCCAGGTAAGTTGCTAAGGTCTCGATGCGTAAGTCATTTTTATCCGCTTAAGAGACGGGTGGCCATTTGTCTATGTCTTCTTACTTGGTGCCAGCATTTCATATTGAATTTTTCACTGAGCATTTATTTTACACAGCGAAAATATGTAATAAGTTCTATTTGTTACGAGGTCAAACTTATACTACCAATAACAAGAAAGAAAGCAAACTTCGGCAAGCCGAAGTTCATATACCCTTGCAGCTATTGCATGAATCAAATACTTTTGAAAACATTTAAATTATGATTTACTTGAGTATATGCTGAAAAACATTGAAACTATGATGATTTGCAGCTCAATTATTAGATAGTTATTTTATATTTTTTTAATATTTCTATGGGAGCTATATGCTATAGACGTCCGATTTTGATAAAATTTAAACCATAATTCTGAAATAATTAAACATTGCTATATGTCGAAGAACTAAAAAAAAAATTCAAAAACAGAAAAGTTATAATTTTTTTTCATTTATTTTTCCGATTGTTCCTATGGGGACTATATGCTATAGTCGTCCGATTTTGATGAAATTTAAAACATAATTCTGAAATATTTAACCATTACTATATCTCGAAGAACTAAACAAAAAATTAAAAAACAGCAAAGTTATAATTTTTTTTCATTTATTTTTCCGATTGTTCCTATGGGAGCTATATGCTATAGTCGACCGATTTTGATGAAATTTAAACCGTAAATCGGAAATATTTAACCATTACTATATGTCGAAGAACTAAACAAAAAATTAAAAAACAGCAAAGTTATAATTTTTTTTCATTTATTTTTCCGATTGTTCCTATGGGAGCTATATGCTATAGTCGTCCGATCCGGCTCGTTCCAACTTATATACTACCTGCAATAGAAAGACAACTTTTGGGAAAGTTTCATGCAGATAGCTTTAAAACTGAGAGACTAGTTTGCATATAAACGGACGGACAGACGGACAGACGGACGGACAGACGGACGGACAGACGGACATGGCTAGATCGACTCTACTAGTGATGCTGATCAAGAATATATATACTTTATAGGGTCGGAAACGTCTCCTTCACTGCGTTGCAAACTTCTGACTGAAATTATAAAATTATGTAGTAAATCCACTTTCGGACCACTTGCAATTTTTCGAAAATAAACGAATGTATCACCTTTTCTTATATTGGTTGAACAAAATCAACATATCTGGAATGATGATGATTAAGATTAGTTATTAATTTTACTTACTATCATATAGGTTTTTAATGTGAAAGTTTTAAATAAGAGTGGATCGAATTGCTTGTCTTCCAAAAATCTAGAATGTGTAATGAACCCATTATTCTGTATTATATTTCCTTTACTGTTCGGCAGATATTATCTGAGATGTCCATCACCTATTTGTGTTCTTAATGGTGACGTCCGCGCCCGATGGCGTTATGTTTTGCCTGGCCTCTTGTGCAGAGTTCGGTAAAGAGCTTGATGATGTGTCGGTATTGGCAGTTGCGGTAGTTGTTTCGCAAGAGGAGGCTTTGGTGGTGGTAGTGACAGCGGCGTGGACTCCGTAATTGTGGTTGTGTCCGCCGCATCACTGCCTGCCAGGAAGAATAGGACGCTGTCGAGGAAGGCCAGGATACAAACGACGGAGAAGTGCACAATGTTGTGTTTTGACCTCAACAAATTGAGCGCTTTTACAGCATGATATCTTAAAAGTGCATTTGTTTCCCGGTCTAGAAATAATACCACTTATAAATTTCTAAATTCACGTCTGAAAACATTTACATACCTAAAACAAATATGATTGCTTAGTTTAAATTACTTTATTTTGTTTTAAAATCCATCGCTGATATATAGGACTCTTAGCAATATTGAGCCACCCACAGTTGGGGTTCCCGTAAATCAGTTCTTGAATTTATAACAGATTTTTCTCCATGTGCTCACACACACACACACAATCATATCAGGTGGGGTCTGAACATATCGATGTATGAATTCTCCGACCTTTCCCCCAATAAATTCTCGAGGCAACGCATCGAATTGGACGTGATTTTAGCTTCACGCACGCACGGCGCACCTAAACAGAGGAGTTAGTTTCATTTAGAGGGGTGGCTCAAAAGGGGGCGTGGCTGAGGGATTGGTAACGTTGTCCTATAGTCCACCCGTAGCCCCATAGCCCTCCACCAACCCCCCTCTTGGCAGTGCTGTTTTCTATGTCATGGCACGTATTTTGGATTTCTGCTACATTTGAACTTAATATTTTCCCGTCTCTGTTGCTCAGTGTGTGTGTTTTAGCTGGAAATTTGCTCGCCTTTTTTGGCAACATCTCTGTTTTAGCCTGGGGAATTTCTTTGGCGTGTTAATGCCTTTTGGCTATCAATTGGCCATTATGTGCCGGGGGTTTGGGGCCGAAAGTCCCGACACCGGGACCTTCTTCTTCCGCCACATAACCATTACCAGTTTGTAATTCCGTTGTGATTTGGGATTAGGTCTTCTCCTGTCCTGGGTTATCCTGTTCATGGCCAGGACCAAAATGCGGGTGTCCAGGCACATGAGCACGCCATAAAAATATCTTGGCACAAGGCAATTGAATAAATTGTGACCTTTACATTGATTCCACTGCCGCATCATCTTTAGCTGCATTCCCTTTTCCCATTTCGGGACAGTCTCGCTCTCTCTCTCAAGTAAATAAAAGCGGCAAAACCCATTTATTTTCCTTTGACTTTTGCACCCTTTTTTCCCCTGATCCCTGTCACGTAAGCTGCCACACAGTGTTATAAGTCCATTTTGGCTGTGTAGTACATATCTGCAGCGCCGCAGTGTGTGTATAGCTGGTGTCTCTGTTTGCGTGGGGTGCTTTTTTGCTATTTTTAAATCGAAACATAAATACATGTTGGTTTAACCACTCGGCTAGTTGCTAGTTGGGCTTCAGTTCCACTTCCAGTTTCGGCTTGGTTTTTGTTGAACACATAACACATAACACATGCTGAGCTGACCACAAGTCGGTCTATTAATACGCGCAAATAAGCCGCTTAATTAGTCTTTCATTTTCGGGGGCACATCGGCTGCGGTAGTGGTCATGGATTGTGGCTGCCACCGAATGTGGCCAGTGGCTGTCGGATTTGCGGGCCAACGTGGCGTATGCATAATGAAGATGATCGAGGCGATTCTGCAATGCGTACGGGCCACCAAATCGGACGTTAATTAAATGCTGCCATAATAGGATGGAAACTTTTACTCCCCAATTATGTGGCTCGTTAAGTTGCTGCCACATGAATCCCCCTTAAACGAAATGAGAAAAACGATTAGTGCACGCTTACTTTTCTTTTAACCATAACCATATTTTCATTTATTATGGAGAAACATTGTTCGTTTATTTTTGCATTGTTTAAACAGAAAAACATACTTGACTCTGCTTTGGTTAGCTTCATTTACCACGTTCGTTAGTTTAATAATTTCATTAATTTCATTTACTATTCTTTTTAATTTTTTTTTGGTTGAACCGCAATCGAATAGACATCGACCCGTTCGCTCTTATCGCTTAAAAGTCTTATCAAGACCGCTTAAAACCGACCTCTAAATGTACAATTATCAAGTATGAATATTTTACACAGTAACTAGATGATGGACTACGTAGAACAATTTCGCGGCTGACAACCAGATAAAAACTTATCCATATACACTGAATAACCATCTATATATATCCGGGGTTACCTACCCCTATTCTCCTCACTTCCACTTTCACTTTCACTACTCCTCGTGCAGGGTGTATGATTTTGGTATAAATAAATAAACAATCGAGGGCCCAAATTATTTATGTTTGTGCTTTATTGTATATACAATCGGACATGTCTGCTTCAATGAACCCAAATGAAACTGTAGGCCAAAAGGTTTTTAATAATTGCTGACTTTTGGCCGGTTTGTAGTGATTTCAAACCTGTGTCAAACCAAATGAATTTCAAATGAAATACAATGACAACACAGCTAAGTTTTGTGATTAATGGGAAATAACTGCTGCTGTTTACTTTGTTTTTTTTTTTTTGTTAATTTTCTTAGGTATGAATAGTGCTTGTTGCCTGGACTTTTCCTGTTGACTGTGGTTGATTAAAAGTTCTTTAGTAATACTGCCTGCCTGCCTGTCTGTCTGTCTGCCTGTCTGCTCGGAAATGTCTTATAGATAATACTCGTTAAGGGACACACTGTATATGTACACTAGTTCGTAAGACGCTCCTCCGCCCTCATTAAATGCACCTGGGGAGGAGCGGTTCAGTCCCAACTTGGCCGGGACTGTCGCTCAGCGTTTGGAGTTCGAGTTCGAGTTCGAGTTCGACTTGGGGCACCTCCTCGAGCCGCATCAGCTCCAGCTCCAGATGCCCAAAAGTCCAGCGGCCAGGTGGCTCCAATTCCAGTTCCAGTTCCTGTTCCTGTTCCTGTTCCAGTTCCAATGCCAATGCCAGTCGGGGCTCCAGTTGCCATAGAAGTTGAAGTGGCAGTTCCAGGCGACAGCCGCCACCGTCATCGACATCCTGGTGGCAAGGACGAAAGGCACTGGAAGGGGGCGCAGGGAGCTGGCGCTGCTATTGCCATGTTGCATGGCAGCCGGATGCTCCCCGTTGATGACATGCACCACCACCGAGGCGGAATCTGCAACGAGTGGGAGGCGGGAAATGAATGTGGTGATGGAAACGCCGCTGGGTCACAAAGTCCCCAATAATTGCCCAGGGAACACTCGCAAAATTGGTTGCTCCGGAAGAATTTATATTGAAAAATAACCCGGTTACCAAATATTTCAAATTAAGCTTTGGAAATTGACACAGCACGTTCTTGGCAACTGAATAAATTCTAGTTATCGAATTTCATTTAGACCAATAAAATAACAAAAACAAGAATAAACGCTATAATCGACTATTAGATACCCGTTACTATGCTAACGAATTTCCAATTAATAAATAAGCCCCTTGAAAATGATTTCGTTGACCGAATACATATTTACTCTACAAGTGACGGGTATGAAAACAAGAAACTCACATTTAGCTTTCAATTGAGTCCTTGAAACATTGTTCTTTGCCGAAGGGAAAATAAGTCTCTAATGCTACTCTCAACTTACTTACGTAAAAGGAAAAGGAAAATAACACACTGAAGAAGTCTCTCTTGGTTGTTAAAATAGAATAGTAAGCACAAAATTAAGGGCTCCAAAGGTTAGCAGGTATTTCTGTCAGTACCCATTAGAATGGCTGACGCACGTGGGACACAGTGAGTTATTTATAAAAGGTATCAATAACTTAATACGTCCACCAGGAAAACCCTGGCTAATAGCAGAATCAGTCATGTTCTTAATTTCACATCCGAGAAGCTAAAAAGTTCAGAAGACTTGTGAGCAGATTGCTGCTATTTTAAGAACCAAAATGTTTAAATTAAAAATTAAGCAAGTTGCCAAGACTTTCAAAACTTTGCTAGAGTCAAAGATTAATCCCTGGTAAATAAGGGCTTTGAGTGTGAACTACTTCCATCATTTGTCTGTGTGTCTAAGACTTTTTGGCAAATTTTTGAGTGTGCTGGGGACTTGGCATTCAAACCGACTTACCTGAGCTGCTCGGGGAGCATGTGTAGTTGCCCGAGTCCACCGGCGTGGCCTTGGCGATGAGCAGCTTGCTGGTGCGCGTGGAGCGCTCCGTGATGACATTGATGCCGCCGCGCTGCGAGTAATTCATGACCCGCTTGCCCTTGTACCAGTAGATGAACGATGGCGGCACCGGCGACTGCATCGCCAGGCAGGTGAGATTGATGTCGCTGCCGCTCTTGATGAAGAGCTCCGCGTTGCCTAGGATCTTGGCCCGCGACACTGCCGTCGAGAGGTAATAAAAAGCCACACGGGGCAGGCCATTAATTAGCACTCCGCCCACTTGATGGCCAATTTTTGCTCCTTCTCCGTCCCCAATACTCACCCACCACGTTGAGGCGAAATCCTTGGCTGATCTTCGGCTCGGTGGACACCTGGCACTCGTAGGTGCCCGAATCCCGAGGCTGTGGCGATGAGATGCGCAGCGTCCACTCGTCGGAACCCTCGGAGTGCAGCGACTGGAAGCGCTGGTCGTTCGTGTAGGTCAGAATGCCCACCGTCAGGATGTGTAGGTCGCGTTTCCTTATCCACGAGACCTGGGGGAGCAGAAAAAAGGCCATTAAATAAGTTAGGAGCCCGTAAAACATAACCCACGGATGCTGCCTTAAACTTGAACAAGTGACAGAAATTCAAGGGTTTTCCAATGATAGAAGTTTAATAAGTTTAATAACCCTTGCCTCAAAACAAAAACCACCTATCGCGTTATATTTATATACAAAAAATAACTTTTGTAACCACTTGGCACAAATAAAAAGGCTGACCTACATGTTCAGAAAAACGAGGGTACAAATTTAATAAAAGCCTTTATTGGGCTGCTTTTCTTGCATGAAAAATTTCATGCAGCTGTCAAAGTGGCGGATGAAAAATTATTTCGTGTTTCAAAGGGGAGTTGCTCGCATTCGTTCATGGTATGGAAATGTTTCTTTATTTGTGCGGTGATATTTTATAGGATGTCAGGTGCAAGGTGAACATTGCACGGAAAGGGGCGTTTAATTGCATGGCGCTTAGATACTGACAACATCGAAATGTTCTACCAAATCTGTCATTAGCTATAATGCGATATAACAGAGATAAGATTGTCTGTGATATGGATTGTTTGTCATAATAATTGTACATAAACAGATAGTTAGATTAAACCATTTGCTTTGAGTTAAGTTTTTAAATTGGCCATTTTCAATTTAGTTTAAAAGCAAAACTTTTTGACATGTCTCTGAGGATATAAAAATGTTTCTAAAATAGAAACTTTTCACTTTATATTCTGAGGAGCAAGCCCCCAAATCGTTCTGCATGGCTTATTTCCCGAAACAATAATAAAATTGCTCTTTTATATGTTCTTATAATTAGCCGGATTTTTCTCGAGCAACAAAAGTGTGTGGCGGCTTAAAAGGATTTCTGCCACTCGTTCTTTGTGTTGGCTGCCAGAATTGTGCTACCTGAAGGATACTTTAGCTGCCGAGCAAATTGAGCAACTTTAAATGGTTGCCCAAAGTTTTGCCATTTGTGGGCGGGGAAACTAGAAATTCATTAATTGCCTGTTTCGGCTTTGTCTGGAATGTAATTTATGGCTGCCATTGGGTTACTTAGTGGGGCTCAGTTTCGAATAGTTTAATATACAATCTGGATTTCGAGTACATGGCAGCCTCTGGCAAAAGGAAATAAAGCACTCCCTTTGTGCAATGCTTAATTTGCTCGTTTGTTTAAGTTTAATTAATTATGGATTAGTGCTTGGCCTGTCGTGTTCATAAAGAAGCCGTTTGATTTATATTTAAATTAAAATACATTCATTAAACATCCGTTCGCTAATTTTCAATGTTCAATTAAAATTAATTGCATTTCCCCAGTGCAAATAAGTTCAAGGCGAGTCTTTGGTTATCACCGCAATTATTCAATTATATTCATAATATGCAATGATTGATTAATGCAAAATGAAAAGTATTAAGTTTTCAACTTACAGAAAAACCAATTTGCTTCAAAATACAAGTTATAAGCCGATTAATTAAAGGGATAGCGAAATATGTCATATTCTTGTAATAATGTTAATGATAAACATGATAATATAATTCAATGCTTGATTATCACAAAAAAATACAAAAAATAAAAAATATAAAATAAATTTATGTGTGTCTACAAAAAATATATTTATTTAGCTTTTTTTAATTGAAAACAATTAAAACAATTGAACAATTGTTTTTTTACCTCTTGCCTTATGCAAACTAAATATGTACATTTCTTAACTAGTTACCCTTATTTCAACTACCGCTATGCTAAATATATTTCCTAATAATTCAAAATTTACGAAAGTCTTGTTGTAAGAAGGAAAGTTACGCTATTAAGCTGACTACTCAATGAACTAGTTTACTTCACTTAAACTACATTTCCCAAAAGTGATTAGACATCGTTTAGTTTTCCATCGGCTTTTCCTTTGAGTCTGCCCCCACCCATCCCCCTGAAGTATGCAACGAATTGCAAAAATGCCATTTAGAGGCAAATTTTCATGTCGTGCATATATTGCGACAATCAATTAGCACGGAACTTGGGCGGTTACTTTGAGTGACTGGCAAATGAATCCCGAGATGGGAGTCGTGCAGCATGTAGCATGCAGCATGGCGTATTCAACGTGCTGGAGACACCGCCAATTAGCCGCATATAACGGGAGACAATGCCTGTGTCGGAGGATTAGGGACACAGTTCGGAATTGGGATCCAAAGCTCCGCAGCTACAGCCACAGATACAGCTACAGCTCCAGCTCCAGCTGCAGAGCTCCACAGCACGGCGTTAATTACTCAATTCAACTGACTTCTTGCTGAAAGTTGGGCGGGCGAACGAGCGTGGCTGACATCGTTGTCGCTTCCTGGCGCAAAACGGGGGCCACGGGACCCAAGACACGGACAACGTAAAATTTATTACACCGCATAATTGCACAGCCACAGAGCGCTTGCCAAGGGACAAAAGGTTAGAGGGGTTGGTGGTCGGGGGTCAGAGGGTCAGAGGGTGGCACACAGGTCCTGTGTTGTTGCATTGCTAACAAATCGCCGGGAGCGGAAGCGAAGCCGTGTTACAAATGTGCAAACCAGAGCGATCCAAAACACAAAGTGCTATTGGGTGTTCGAGGCGCATTCAACCCACAGACCACCAACTTTATGGCGTAATCTTTTAAAAGTAATCTACAAATCTGCCACACGACCGCCGCAGGTCGTTTGTTTTCCCTTATGCCTTATGCCTTATGCCTTATGCGAATATAATGTTGCTCCCAAAGGGGCACGACGAGCAGCAGGCAACATGGGCATATTAATTGCCGAGAGGGTGGGTCACCACCCAAGCACCAACCAAGCACCAACCAAGCAAAAGTGCTGACCCCACTTACCGCTCGATCGCCCAGATTCCGCACCCGGCAGTGCAATAGAGCCGCCTGACCCACGGTTGCGGTGACCTCGCGCCTCGAGGAGTTGTCGAAGTACGGCTGCGAGTACGGGGTCTCCCAGTAGTGCGGTGGCACCTCGCCGCCGACCAGGCCGCAATCTGTAAGCAAACAGGGGATGCAGTCGCATTAATACATGCACAGGGCCAAAATATCACTTAAACCGCCCATCAATTATGTACTTTTGCATGTGCAAAAGGTCAGTTTTCTCATTTCACATAAATAAAGTCCTTGCCAATTGAATTTCGCCTCAGAAGAAGAAGACTTTGTTGACAACACGTTGATTACATATTAAGCTTATCAGATCTGTTTTTTAATAAGTATTGCAAATCGATATGGACAATTTAGCTTAGACAAATATTGGCATATTTCACAAATATGCATGATAGTGATTCATTATTTAATTATCATATAACGTATTATTTAAGTATTTAACATTCTAAGGAATTTGTATTTATTCTTTGCAAAGGGATGTTTATTTATTTTATCTTAATTGATAATTAAACATTTTTTACAAATTTTAAAGATTTAAATGTTAAAATCAGAGATTGAAAAGGAAATAAAAGTTTGTAACATCCGAGTTATATTAATTAAGCCAAACGCCACCTTTCGCTTTTAAATTCTCTTGTTGAAGACTTGTTACTGTGAACTTATCGCCATCATTTTTTTTTCACTTTACGAAAAATATAATCATTAATGGGAAATAAAAAACTCACCGAGGAGCAGGACCAGCCACAGCGGCACCAGGCAAATCGCTTTCAACGCTCTCGGGCAGTCCGTGGTCCACATGTTTTATGCTCTCCACTAGGACTGCTGCTTCCTCGGCTTCTGCTGCTACTGCTGCTACTCTGATGGCCCGGAGGAGTGCTCCGCTCCTGCCGGCAGTTGTATTTGCTCCGTTTACGGTTTAAGGTTTAATAATCTGCAAAGGAGGAAATATTATTACCAGCGCTTTTTATGGGGCCAAAGGCAAAGGACGCGCCTGGAAATGAGCTGGGGGCCATGGGAATGCAATTTGCCGGACAAATGATGGGAGATATATATATATATATGCAGCATGTGGGGGAGAGGCATTCGTGGAGTGGGCCAAGCCAATATGCTTCGCACCCCAACCGCAAAATTGTCCTCGCTTTACGGCAATTGTTTAATACAGTCAGTTTCATTAGTCTTAGATGGCCAAATGATTGAATAAAACCGATAAACCTTAATAAACGACACAATGAAACCATAAATATCACCTTACTGATAAATAATCAAATAAAAATTCATTATATTTCTCAGTATTAAAACATTTGCAAAAATACCAATCTTAATTAATTATTAAAAACCAATAAATGAATTAAAAAAATGTGGGTCACTAATTAATCCATTTGGCTTTCTTTTTTTTTCATGTTATTAAATATTAAGTGTTATCGCGTATCGCTTTTTTCCAAAACACGCAAGCCAAACTAGCTGGCTAGCTTATTAAAGAAATTAGACCAATTAAACGACTCTCTAATTAAATTAAAGTTTTATGGTGTTAGATGAATTGTCGAAAGAAATAAGGTTTGAAAGTGGGTCAGCAATCGACCAACTGTCACTGCCAAGAATATATTCTGAGTAAAATATTCCCAACAGCTTAACCAATTGCAAACATTATTATTTTACGGATCTCCTGCATATACCGACGATTAAACATAATTTATTGATTCTCGGCGACTTATGTGTGCTCATTTATGGAACTCAATGCATTGCAATTCCAATTAACAGAACAAGAGCCATCGCCGTCCGGGGAAAATGCATCTGAACGACGGGCTAATGAGGTTAATGCCGGATGAAGTCGACTTGGTTGCCAGGCAACCAAATGCGTTTCAGATCCGCCTCAGGAACTGCATTCGTGAGCGATGGGATTGGCGAGCTCGCAATTGCGGGGCATTGCAAAGGTAAGGGGGAATTCGCGGGGGGGTCCACGGGCTGAATGGCAAACTAAAGCAAAAGTCAAAAACTTCTCGAAGGATGAAATTAAAAAGTTTCCCCAAGCTGAGCTCCTGGCTAAACGACCTTGTCAACTATATATATAGTTTTATCTGGATCTGGATAAACTCAATATTGCTTTCGGTCTTCCTTCCTCGTCTTCCTCTTTGCAAATTTGTCAGTCTGCTGCCATGGCTCCCCCGAGACCTCGTCGTGGGTGTCCCGCTCATTATTTATGACTCCAACTCAGTAATCAGTCAGTTGGTGAGACGTCCGGGGCTCCTAGAGCGGTCTTTCATAATCCCAGTCATTACTCAAAAATATACATTTGTTGTCAGTCCAATTAGCTGCGTGACTCCGAGGGTCAGCACTCCGGTCCGGTTGCCGCCATTTGTTTTGGTCACTTTTAGCCTTTCAGCCGACGGCTTATTGGTTGCCTAGTTGCCCACTTGCCCACTTGCCCAGTTGCTTGATTCCTGGTTCCTGGCAAAAAAAAAGGTTCATTTTTCCGCAGCTATTACAGCGGAATTATCGCCTCGCCGTGTGTCCCCTTCGCTCTCCATGGAAATTAAACAAAAGTTTTTTTATCCGGCCAGCGAACAACGTTATTCTGTTGTTCTTTTCCTAACTTTTCAGACCTGTCAAACGGAAAAGTCGGACAAAGGGCGACCGCAGTTTGGCCGGTCAGTCCCTAGGACTTGGGACCCCATTTATTGTTTGTTTTTCTCGCTCGTCCTTGTGGCGCATTAAATTAAATTCCTTCACTTACGGGTCTCCGCAATGACTGCCAAATGACATCAACGTCATTCTCTTCAATCCTTGGCGTCCGATCTGAGATTCTATTGCGTTACTTTCAGTCCTGGCTTTGAAATTCGATTGCGCAATGCGCAATAATTAGGCGGCCCTGCTGGCATCGCTCATTCAGCAGCAACAGTTGCACAATAACCAACAGCGCTTAACAATGTCACAATTCGGCAATCGAAGCGTTTGAACAACTCCACAATCACCAATTCACCAATCAATCCGTTCGACAATGGCGCAAAAAAGTAGGTAGGTAGGTAGGTCTATTTTTTGCCTGGCTTTCTGCTGCAGCTTTTCTGGGTGCGTGGGTTAATAGCGCGGATTTCGAAAATATATCCGTTCGGCGGAAGCGGACACATGGACACATGGACCCACGGACCCACGGCGGCCAGAAGGACCCACGGGCACGGACACGGACACGGACACGGACACGAATACGGACACGGTCACGCACACGATGACAGCGAGGCGAGCGACAAGGACGAGCGGGCCTTGTGCTATTGTATTGGCCGACGTGTGTATGTTGGCCACATTAGGTGCTACGGCCCTATAGGTATGCACACTCACACTAAGGCAGGGGCTGGCTGGAGCACACACCGATACGCGGAGAGAGGCATTTTGTGTATCCGTCTCGGGACGTGACCAACGGTGGCTCCGTGCGATTTAGTTATTAAACGGCTTTTGGCTTGGCTTCTGCTTATGCTTCTGCTTATGCTTTTGCTCCTCACTTGCCCTCACTTCATTCTTTCTTCGTCTGTTTTCATTTTTAAATGTGGCACAATGTGGCAATGTGGTGATGGCACTTTCCCTTTCCCCGGTTCGACCCCTGTGACTGATTTCTCCGACGGCGGCGGACGGGCATCCTTGCGGCAGGATTCGCGTGCTGGAACTGATTCCGTGTCTATCTCGGCAAGCTTACAGGACTATTCAGGACCGTGACTCCGAAACGAGAGGGAGAGACCGAGACTCCGAAAAACGTTCGTTGGCGCAGGCGCCGTTCTGTCATTCTCAGATGAGGATGAGAGGATGTGAGGAGAGAGGATTTCCCCGAAAGCCAGAGCATATCAAATATTAATTTGCCTTCCATTTGTTGCCGCTTTCTTTGCATGCCTAATGAGCAGTTTCATTTTAAAGGCAAGGGTTTATTTTCCTCTTATTTTTTTTTTTAGTTCGTCGACTCCACTTATCCCTTGGTTTTTCCAGCTAACCGCCAAGCCGGATCGCTTCGCTCTCCATCAGCCGACACGAGAGACGTCGCTCTCAATGCGTACTATCTGGGTTATTAGCACAACCTGCCTCAATGCGAGACACACGAGACGCAACTCGGCCGAAACCAAATCCGAGTGCAAATCGTGGCCAGACGAACCTAATATGTTCCATAGTCACGTACAAATGAATATTCGTCGTAGTAGAGACGCCTTCGTTTTGGCATATTAATATAGTCTACATTTCGGGGCACTGGCAGCGCGAGCAAGCCCAACTTTTTTTCCCTTTTTCGCCCCATGAATGATTTACACGGGGCCATGGAAATGTGATTTTTACCGCAATATATAGGTATTGGTATAGGCAATAGGTATGGCTATTCGCCATCGCCATCGCCATCGCCATCGAACTCCTTCCGCGCAGAAACAATTGAACAGACAGTTATAGGCCAATTTCACTTTATGTCCATGCGTCGTACTCGAGAGAGATTTGTGGGGCTGTTGAATGGGTGGCAAAGGGCTGGAGGCAGTGCAGGGGTGCATGGCTGATTTAGGGGGTCTATGGGTGACAGGGGGGTGCCTGTACCAACACCTGTACCTCGTTGTTGCGCCGGCCATGTCAAATGTTGCGTGTTATAGCCCGCAAATGTGGCCGTCGAAAGCGTATCCTCCCCGACCACCCACTCCCACTCGCACTCCCCCTCACAAGTGCTAGCAGCCCGTCCCTCCGAAAAAAAGAAACCAGGGGCGGACGGGCATTTCAACGCATGCCTTACGAGCTCATAAATAAAATGCCCACCCGGTCGGAGGCCGATAAAGTCGAGTGTGCTTGACTGTGGAATGCCCTGTAGGCCTCACAACATCGCAATGCAAATGAGCTTGGCGCCCAGAAAGAGACAGACGCACTCAGACAGACAAGTACAGGTAGATGCCGGGGGGAGAGGGGCAGAGGGTATACAGCGAGCCATTGCAACAGAAAATTGACAGACAATGGTCCTGTAATTGACACGCCACCTATCGGCCATTACGAATGATTAAAGGTGTTTTACCCCTCCCATTTGTACAAGTGTGTGTGTGTGTGTGTGCGTGTGTCTATGTGAGTTGACATTTGATTATAGAATTCCATTACCAAACAATCGTAATGGGAATACAGCGCAGGGAGTTGGTCAAAGCGGAGGCGGAACCGTGCTAAGCAGTTTACACATTCCATAATTAAACGAGCACGCAATCGGGTCAAATGGAACAGAGACAAAAATATATCTTATCTGCTCAGAATTGAAGCGCTTTAGCTTTAAGCTTATTATAAATATGAAGTTGTAAGTAGTACATGGATAAACATGTTATGAAGATAATAATTTCTCAAAAGAATATGTACTCATTTACAATCCTTAATTTGAATGTATTCATACCCCTGAGGACTAGAAACCTTATGATAACGTAAAATTAGGTTTTAATTAAGTTTCTGCGCAAAGTTAATATTAGAAATTAATTTAAAAACATAGTCATCATGGTAGGCCAAAAGTAGGGTTTCAGCCGAGAACACTAGGCAGTTTTTTTTAATCGAATGATAAGTTTTATATATATTAGCTTAACAACAATTACTAATTGTCTAAATTTCTTGTTAATCGATAATTTATTAAATAGTTAGAAAATAGTTTATAATAAAATTGTAAATAAAATCAGTTCGAGTGGGTCATACTCACTGCGTACTGGGTATCTGGGATATATCGACTCCGCGGCGATACTTAACGCTTGCCGGCCCATTCAAGAAATCAAATTAGTGGAGCAATCTATACCCAACACCCACTTGCCCCACCCGCTGAGATTCTATCAGTTCACCTTTTCGCTAGTGAATTTATTGTTGCCAATTAATTTGTTAAAATTAGTGGAGCAGGCCTTGTCGTTGGCCGTGCATTGTGGTAGTTCCAATTGCCAGCTCCGCGGGGGATGGGCTTGGTGATGGAGATGGAGCAGGAGGAAAGCACAGGAGGAGTTCCATGGAAAGCTCTGTCTTCAACTGCTTATCGATAAGCGAAAGTGGGCATGGCCCCCAGACGTCGTCGCCTGCGAAATGTATGCCACGTACACGTATTTATCCATTGCTTAGCTCGCCGGCGCCATTTATTGTTCACAGCGAATGGGGCTGTCCCAGGGGTGGGGCTAAAGGGGGCATGCCAGGGGTGCCCGGATCGGAGAGGGTACGAGCCCGCTTCCTTTGCCTTGAATGAATGCTAAATTAATTTCAAATGAATACAAATGGCTTTTCGCTTTTAAGACCAGACCAAGGCAGCAGGAAGAAGCGCCGAGCGCAGCAATAAACTCCCCCATCACACAGCCAAAAAATTAAGGGCTTCCTTCTAAAGGACCCTCGAAATTTAAAGTTTATTTCCCTTAGCCAGATGGAAGAATTTTATTCAAAGCGCATTTATAAATAAATGAACTCCTGACTTTCAATTAGTCCGGAAGGGAAAGACTTAAATATATCAAAAATAAACAATGACCAAAATGGGAGATTTAAGCACATAAATTAAGTTCTGAAAAACTAGTTTGGATGCGAGTCTGTACGAATCAAAACTTAACAATTTGTTCGTCGGACAAGATTTATATTTTATGAGTGTGTATAAACATAATTATCCATCAAAGTCTTAATTGGATTTATCAATTAACTTATACCCAAATTGCTTTTATAAATAATTCAAATTCTGATTTGCAATAAGTCAGAAGGTGAATAATTAATTCTCATATGAACAATATAATATTCATATGAACATATCAAATATGTTTTAGTAATTATTGCAGTATAAATCAATTCAATGAATTGTTTTATTGGCAGATTATTTATATTTAAGAAGTGGAATAAATGTGCGGTGTATAAGCATTTTTAGGTAAAAAATGGGGCATATTTCTAGGAGTATCAGGTGGGGAATATTTATGATAATCAATTGTAAGAACAAATATTGCGAATAAATTTAGTAGGAAAATACAACTTTTTAAAAGGCCTTTTGAAAAGTTTAATCCAACAATTAACATTTTAAATTAACAGACCGTTTCTCTTTGCAGATGCATAAAATCAAAGGATATTCTTGTGTATTTTAAACAATAATTTGGAATTAAACAAGAAGACAAAATTCCTTCAAGTCTATTAAACGAGTAAGAGAGTTATTAGTTTTTGAAAAATATTTCATGTTTGATGATTCTTAAGATCCCTAAGATTCATGGTACTAAGCATATGCTTACATATATTTATAAAGGCATGATTTGATCACCATAATTTTCTCTCCGTGAGCCACTGAGTCGTTTTGTCTGCCGGTTTCTGCTTTACATTTCTTGTTTCGTTGAAATAACTCCAAGTCTGGGCCTGCTCCTGGGTGCTGCCTCCTGGCCACCTCTCTCCGACCAGATCCTTCTGCCGATGCCGATTCCAATTCGTCTGCGGGCTGAGCGTTTCGGTGGGTCCTCGATGTCGAGTTTATCAGATCCACTGCTGGAAATTTACAACGCTACAGTCCAGCACAGACAACGTGGCCGTTAATTCAATTCAGCGTACACCTCGCCTTCTCGGCTTCTCGGCCCCTTGGAACCCCCACATCGCAAGCCTCTGATTTGGGCCGCTATTATCCAATAACTAGCGAAGCCGGCTAATCGCATGAATAGTTTGGGCGGCGTAATTGATGTTTACGGCGGAACCCCCCATACCCAATCCACAAACACTGGTGGAAAATTTCCATTTCGTTGACTAGTTTTGGGGGGCGGGCCAGTACACCTGCTCGGCGCTTTCAACGATGCCTTGATTTAATGCATTTCATTGAGGAGCTACGTCCACGCCCACCTAACAAGTGGCCCCCCATCACGGGCTAACTGGCCTCCCCAATTCCAAGTTCCTCCCGGCCGGCCACTTAGCATTCATTATTCAATTTGAGCCGCATTTAGATGCCAGCCTGATTAAGATCCCCATTGTGTCGAAGGGATTCGAGGAGGGATTCCCGGCGAGGTGTCCAGGCCGCAGTCGATCGCCTGGCCACAGAGAATAGGTCAGAGTGATGCCTCTGCTCGGGCGCATAAATAAACGATGGGATTCCCTTTGAGACGTCACCACAACTGTCATCGCAACTGGCAACTGGAAACTGATGGGGATGGGCATTGGAGAAGGAGACGCGCAGACAGCAAATTCGACTCCGAATCGGGAAATCCGTATTGATTGACACGCTCTGGTTAAGACCAGCGATTTGGTTTCGGATTTTAGGATGCCCTGTCGTGCATCGGTCAGACCATTGGATGCCATTGAATGCCATTTATTAATGCAGTTAATGGCAAATCAAATGCAGTTGAGTGTCTCTTAACCAGAGCCACGCAACTTTAAAAAGGTTAAATGAATGAACTGAGAACTCTGATTTTTCGCTTGATTTAATCCTTAGAATTCAACTTTTCCATTTGGCAGATGTTTTTCGTGTGATTTATTTTCAGCAAAAGAGACTCTATTCAAAATGGAAGCTGATTTATTTCAAGCTATTTTATTTCACTATTTAAGTTTGTGCAGTAAAGTCCTCAGTGCACAACGATAACCTTTATAGAAAGTGACAAGAAAATTGTTTACAATTAAAGTGAGAAAGCAAAATAAAAATATATTTCCTTTGAAGTAGCCAGCTCAAACCTTTATACAATCATCAAAACAGCTAGTCG